CTAATCTCAAGAAGAAAAAGATGGGCCTTGACCGGTTAACCTACTACCAAGCAGGTAATCGATGAACCAAAGGACTCGGTCCTCGTCTATTAAAAAACTCTCTATCTCTCTCTCTCTCTCTCCCTCTCTGTCTCTCTACATGAGCAGTTCTCTATGGCAAGCTAGAGTTCTCTGTACCAAAGCGAAAAACCAAGACAAATCTCCCCCGCCCTCCCTGCACGAGCATCTCTCCCTCTACGTGATCAGGGAGGAGTTCTCTCTCTAAAAACTAGGGTAAAAGAGAAAGAAAACATCAGGGCACAGGAGGCGTGGAAGTTCTCTCTTTACAAGAGCAACTCTCTCTCTATGGATGTACAATAGCAATGCAAGGCACATATGAGCTGTTGCTCTAAAAACCAAGGGAAAGGGGAAAATAAATATATCTCTCTCTACAAACCAGGGCACAGAAAAAAGGTGAATCTCTCTCTTTTTAAAAACCAGGGCAAATGTATTCTCTATCTCTCTATTAATATTATGATTTCTTTCTTTAGTACTAATCTGTGAAAAGGAAACAAGCAAGGTGCCTTCTTCTTCGGTAGAGCCACATATTTTAGAGAGAGATGTATCTTCTCTCTCTATGAATGTACACGAGCAAGACATGTATTTTGGATAAAAAAAATAGTTATTTTTCTTTATAAGATATAAAACCTATCCATGATATTTGTAATGTGTATTCTGAAAAGAGGGTTATAATGAGTGGGTTGTGGATCTCTTTTTTTTTTTTCTTCTGTTTTTTTGTTATTTTTTTTTTTTATGTTGTGGATTTTCTGAGCTTCTTTATCAAAAAAATTGAGAAGCTCCTTGGATCCAAAAAGAGACACTATCAATTGCAATTTAGCTGATTTTGAATGGCAAAGTATTGGTTGTTGCTTGGAATTTTTGTAGGTTCTCCAAGTGCCTTACCGTAGAGGTCCAAGAAGGATGGGTTGCTATGAATTCTATTGCTGAGAAAGGCAGCGCCTTACCGTAGAGGTCCAAGAAGGATGGGTTTACTATGAATTCAGAATTACTGCTGCGGAAGACAAGGTCCTTTTTTGAAGAAACTGAGCATGACAATGTCCTATGTCAGTCCAAAAAAATTGTTAAGGATATCTTGTGTTTTACTTGCTTCTTAATTTGTAGCAGTCCATAATGCATGACTTGATGATTATCAGCAATAGAAATTTGGTTTTATGCTTTTTATGTGCCAAAATTTCCTTGCTATTCTTCTTGTTGATGTGTTTATGGGTATTTGAGAGAGAGAGAGAGAGAGATGAGCTGAGAACTAGTTGTTGATATGTGTATTTGACAGAGAGAGTTACCAAATGCCCTTTGTATGGCCCTTCAAGGACCATTGTGCATAAAGTGCTTATGCCTTTTGCACTGATACTCATTAATTTGGCGCTTGGCATGAATTTGGATATTTGTCATGGTGGCATTTCTCATATTGCTTGGATCTCTTGGTGACTGCATCGAGCATGAAATCCAATGCCCATGATGGTGCAACCAAGCCTGGCCAAGCTTGGCGGTATCTCATTTGCCATTCGAATCCCCTGATTGTTCGTTGTCCAAAATTTACAAAGGAAACACATGGATGAAGAAACCAATGAATTTTGTGCTTTGCTGACATTCCCGAATGCCTTTTTTATGCAACATAAATCCCAAATCTTGTATACAACTTCTAAATTGATGAATGATTATACAGATTTTTGTCTTTGGGATATAGTTCTTTCATTCCGCATAAACATATTTTTTTTTGGTATCATTTCCCCCAATTCCGACAAACTGAGAGGATATGTGAAAGATATTACTCGTTTTCATCACTTGTTATTCATAACACAAGTAGTTCATCAACATTGCACAAACTAATTACCAAGAGAGCACAAATTACATGAGATGAAATACATTCATGTCTAGAAAAAAGAGAGAGACGTAAAGTGATCTACAGTTGTGGAGATGTAATGAACCATGTGACCATTCTTTTTATAGGGAGAAGGGGGGGTGCGAATGCCACATGACTATACTTATCACAATAAGTTTTCCAAATACAAAAAAAATGATGCCATGAACTTATCACAGTAAGTTTTACAAATACAAAAAAAATGATGCCATGAAACAATAATCTAGGTAACTAACTTGCAAATATATGCTATAGAGAAACCAATTAGTAGCTCCTACAATAAAAGTAAAATCCATCCCCACATAGGCTACTGCTCTCTTTTCTTCTAAAATGTGTTCGTTGTAGTATTAATATAAAGACTAAACCAAATACAAGTGCTAGGCAGCCCAAGGGACTCAACAAATGTTTTACATCCAAAATATAAACAAGATATTAATATACAAAAAAGGATGGACCATGTGCTCAAAATATTGACCAAAAAAATCCTTGCTCCCTATTTAGCGAGAAATTTAGAATTTGAACTCCAATTAGAGTCATACAAATGTAGTAATAAAAAACCAGGCTAGGGTATGTATCTCTTCTTCAAGAAGAAAGAAGCAAAGATGATCTTAGTAAAAAAAACGTTGTTTTTCCTCGATGAATTGCAACCTACGAAAGGAACATCAAAATAGAAAAACTAGGTGACCAAATTCAATTATCATAAGATAAAAAAAATTGAAGCAAAAGGATAGCAAATCTTCCATTATCAAGAATAAAAATTGAATTGCTCTCTCCTCGATGAACTGCTGGAAAGAATGATTTTGGATATGGTTTACCATTTTTGTTCATTTACTATTTGAAACTCGGTTAAGTGCTCATTGTCAATGATTTCAGTCCAATCTAGCATGTCCAATGACAAAATGTAGAGAGACCATCCACACTCATGATATTTGAGGGTGGAGGCTAAGATATACACATCAAATTTCAGTATGTAATTCTTATTCTCTATGGTATTTCTATAGACTGGAACCGCAATAAGAAAATATTGCTAGTACCATTTATACGTGTTAAGCAGCCAAAGGGGCTCAAAAAATGCTTTACATCCAAAATATAAATAAGAAGTTTAGATACAAAAAATTAGGGACCAAATGCTCAAAAAAGTGCTAAAAAAATCCCATGTTTGTTGTCTTGTGTTGCGTCTCTTTAGCGAGAACATCGGATGCCGAGTTGGGCTCTCCCAATGAGTAGCTCCCCGACAAAAGTGGGACTCATCCACAAAGGCCAGAACAAAATGTTGTAGTTCCATCAAACTGCATGCAAAGAGTAAAAAATAATTACCAAGCAATACATAATAGATTTTCACTAGGAGGTTCCAAATGTCATGGCCAAAATAAATTATAGATGTATACCAAAGAAATAATCATATGAAACAAACTATATTTAACTAGCTTGCATGTATGTCATTGTGAAGAGTACCATAATATTAAAAGCTTAACTAAAAGGCACCACTATAATCTTGAATCATAGCATTCGAGGACTGACCCATGGTCATGACATCTATCGTTGAAATCTGTAAAGTAAGTTAAAAAAACAAAATAACTTGTCATATAAGTGGTGAGAGTAAGAAAAAAAGTAGATAAAGAGAGTACAAGGTAATCAATATTTACAACATAATCAATATTTTACCCTTGCAAGGTGTGAATCACTACTTTTTGACAATGAACAAGTGCGTAAATTATGCCCTACTTTGTTGCACATATGATATGTAACAAGCTTCCGTGGCTTCTTCTTTGATGGTGCTTTAATTCTTATGGTCGAAGGCCAGCCTTTTGTTGATGCCAACAATGGATTTTGCAATATAATACCACTTGTTGAACAATCTAGATTTATTTCACTTGTTGTCGTAGCTACTCCCATGTTACTTTCATTGCCCATAGTGCAAACTTGTGTTGCATTTTCAACACTTTCCTTAAGGATTGCTCTTTGCCTCAATTCTTGAAATCCTAACAACACCACATCAAAAACACGTGTTGATTTTGCCTCAATATCTGCAATGCTAATTGCTTCGTGACTTAAATAGTTGAATTGTAAGAATAGAGAATCCATGGAATTTTCCATCACTCTTTTTTTATGCTCATTTAATTACGCCTCTTTCTTGGCATTCCTAGTCCATCACCTCAAAATATATTAAGATGGGATTTTTTTAACATGCTCACGATGCAAAACGGCTAACATATGTCTACAAAGGTACCCGGAAAACTCAAACAATTTACAGCAAAAAGTTGCTTCGGTTTTAGAGACATGAAATATAACTATATATTCTTTACTATTTTTTTCATAACTTGTATGTGTTGATTGACCCATCCTCCTCAATTTTATTTACCACAATTGATCACTTCATCCAATTCCTTTTAAAACTTAAGGAACATTGTCCTGATATAAGCATCTACTGCTTGTTTCTCCATAGGTAGTCTTGTGTTCAAAGTTGGTGTAGACTAAGAAGTGAGATGATCTAAATAGGATTCATTGTTGTACTAGCGATCAACGGCTTCTTAATATTTAAGAACAAATTATTGCAGGGTAGTTTGAGAGTTAAAAAACCCATGAAAAATTGGTTCATACTTTCACTTCACTGAGTAGTAGAGCAATTTGCAAAGAATATACCACGCAAGTAGATTGGTATCCATTGATGTCGAATATCATTTAATGATGCTAATCAATTATTTTCCTTTAGCTCATACTTATCAATAATCAATCTCCTTGAACTCTCGAACTCTTCAATTGTTTCGGTCCAATTAATACAATTGAAAAACTCCCTTACAAAAGTAGGATGTTTTGCACAAATGCTACCCAACTTCTCATTGACCATTTTTAAGATGTGCCATATGCAAAATATGTGGGTAGTGTTCAGGAATACACGAGCAATAGTTCCTTGCATGGCCTTGTCTTGGTCGGTAATTACTGTAATTGGATGTTTGCCATGCATTGCTGAAAGCCATGTCTCAAATAGCCAAACAAATGACGATTCAGTTTCATCTATTAAAAGTGCACACCCAAATAAGGTAGAATTTGTATGGTGGTTGATTCTAGTAAAATGGGCAAAAGGCATTTTAAACCTATTAGTCCTATAGGTTGTATCACAAATCACCACATCCCCAAAACATTGATATGCATTCCTTGACCTAGCATCAACCCAAAAAATATTTACTAAATGGCCATCGTTAGTTACATCAATTGCATAAAAGAATGATGGATTTTCACTTTACATGCGCTTTAAATAATTTAAGAGCAATTGACCATCATCGTCAAGACTTTTCCTTTTAAGCTTTTTAAACTCATTTCTACAATCACGGTCCATTAGGCCTAAATTACAGTATCGAACAAATTCTACTTTAAAGGCATTCATAATCTTATTAGTAGGAATCCCGACTTTATGAAAAGTATCTATAATACTTATCTTACATTAAAAAACAACCCGATGCCACCAGAGACAACGCACCTTACTTGGGCTCACAAATTCATGATTGTGGTCTCTCTCAAACCATGTAACAATCCACTTATCCAGATATTTTTTATATATTTTCATCATTGTTTTGCAACCAACCCTTGTGTCTGGTACCTTCCGAGTAGGTTTTTCAATATCAACGTTCCTTGAACGAAATCCTTCTCTTGAACATAGAAATCTATGAGAGCGCACGATCCCGTCATGTTGTGTTTTTTTTTTGTATTTCCCATGCGCATGCTAAATCCGATTCGCCTCGCATATTTATTATATAATAATTTTGCTTCTTGCTCAGATGAAAATTTCGTACCCACAAATGGTTCACAACCAATATTTCCTTCACTTGCATTCAGGCTTCCCATTCTTCTATTTTCATCTTCCTCACTGCAAGTGTTTATAATACTGACCTCTTTAGAAACATCATTATTGCTCCATTTTACATGTGATACCATTGGTGCATGTGGACTTTTTATAGGTGCCTGTTGTCATTCAAATGATTGGTTAGACTTCAACATGAACAAAAAAATATTGGTTAGACTTCAACACGGACAAAAAAACTTATCAATTCTGAAGAACTCATTACCTAGATAGAACTACCAATTTCTTATGCGTTGGCACCATACCATAAGGGATGATCCTTAATGGTTGCCTCCATGGTTAGGAGAAAATCTTAAAGCATTTTTGGTGTTTCTTACTGGATCAGCAACATGGAATGAGAATGACACAATGAAGTGCAATATAAATATTTAGACTTTAGAGAGAATCGGCAAACTCAATCAATTCAACTAGAAAAACATGTATAGTTCAAAAGGCGTA